CGACCGCGCACGTTGGTAGAACAGAATGAGCTGCAGAGCATGTCGCGGATCGTATCTTTGAAGTGGTGACGCGAGGGGACGCAGTAGCCGGCAGGAGCACGAAAGACGGACCAGCTCACAAAAGAAAAGCTGAGCGCGAGGAGGGGCGGGGGGCAGGACAAAGCAAAGCGTCTTCAGTCGGACATGTACTTGGAGACGATTCTGAGATCGGAGCTCATGCTCGATGGGTCTCGCGTCAAATGTGCCTTTTCCTCCATCAGCTGGCTCTCCCTCGTGCTTCCTGTCGACCTTCCCCCTCCGCTCCGCACCGATCTAGCATCCGCTCCATGTCCACCTCCACCTCCACCTCCCATTGCGCCTTCGTAGCTCTTGCCATGAGATCCATGTCCGTGCGAGCTGCTCGTGGCGCTCGGTAAGTTGCCGTTGCTGTTGCAAACGCCAGATCGAGAAGTGCCGGCTCTCGAGCCAGCCACAGAGAGCGGCGCATTGTTGGAGCTGGCACCCGATCCAGAGCCCAATTCAGATCTCAATCGAGCTCCAAATTTATTTTGACGGCCAACACCGTGCGATCTGGACACGACTTCTGCTTCGGTCAAGAGACCTTGCTGCTGGGTAGGATGCAGATTCTGCCGGACCTTTGGCGAGTCGTTCCTAACCATATTGTGACCTGCCGCCGCTTGTCCAAACTTTTCGCTCGCCGCTCCAGCTCTGGCAAATCTGAATGCGGCCACGGAAGATGCGTGCGTCGGAGCAGCAGCATAAACGTTCGTCACGCTGCTCGACGAGGGTCTCAGAGGTGTGAGGCCGTGCGCGTTGGGCAAGTGCGCCCTGGGCAGCACCTCATCGCCAGCATAGCTGAAGCTCAAGGTGGATTGTCTCACGTATCTCTCAGTGTCCAGCAACATGCCAGCCTCCGTCTCCTCGGACGCCTGACTTCCCACTTCATCCTCATCCTCCTCATCCTCGTCTTCCTCCGCTTCTTGGATGCCTTGGGCAAGCTCGTCTTGCAAAGCGCTCGTAGAGGGCTGAGCAGCCTTGCGCCAAGCTACAACTCCTACAAATTTGTAGAGGTTGCGCGTCTTGGCTCTCAAAGTGGTGTTTCGCAAGGCTTTCAATCGTTCCTTGCTGTCCTTGCTCCTAGCTGCAAAATCCGCCGCGAGCTCTGGGCCCGTCGTGACATCGATCGAGTCGTCCATCTCTGTTGAAGGAAAAGCTTGTGGGCCGCTCTCATCCTCGATCGGCGCGGGCGCACCGATACTCGATCCAGAGGGACGCAAGGCAGTGGTGCTGCTCATAGGAAGCGCAGTCACGCCGACCCGTTGACATTTGAGCTCCACGTCTGAGAATTTAACGACCCAAACATCCCTCTTGCTTCCCATACTCGGCGCCTTGGTAGCCTTGTCATCCGCAGATAAAAAGTCCGACAGTCTTCTGTACGATCTCTTGCTTTTCAGTGCTTCTCTCAAACTCGAACTCTTGCCCGTGCTGGTCGCGTTCGACCCTCCCGTCCCACCTGAAGAGTGGGCCAGTGCTCCAGAGCCCTTCACCTTGCTCGCGCTCGGGCCCTCGTCTTCCGACTCGCTGACCCCCCCTCCTCCATTCCGCTCGACTTCATCCTTTGGCGCGGATTCCGAGACGGCTCGTCGAGGACCTTCTTCATAGAGGGGCCGCTCTTCGATGAGCAACCTATCCGGTCGAGGTCTCAGCACAGCTTTATCTAAAATTCCATCTATGCGAGCAAATGCGTCGTACGCCTTGTCCCTCTCTTCGCTAGACACCTTGGCACTCTCGATGGATCTGACCAAGCCTTCCACATCCACCACCATGGCCACCGTATTTTCGAATTCGAAAGTGGACGGGTCGGTGTGATAGAGGAGGTTCTGAAAGAGCAGAGGGTACTTGAGCAGTCTTTGAAAAGGCATCGAGATGAAAATGGAAAGACCGCACTCGCCCCTCTCGGCAGCGCTCGTCTCGAGCGAAGCAACAGCTCTGCCAAGTCCCACGGTCTGCGTCAATCTCTCCCTCTTGATCCGTTTGCCTCTCATAGCTCTTTCCATCAAGCCCGCTTCTTCCAGCTCTTCCAAGGCCCTTTCCAAATGGATGACGTAGCCCTTGTAATGCTTCAAGATGTAGTCGTACCTCGTAAATACGTCCGCCAGACTACGGACCAGCGGCCACTGCTCTTCGTATCTGACGCGCAAAGCTTCAGAGAGCAGCGTGTGACCCTCCAAGAGGCCATCATTCAAAGCTTCCAGCACCGCTCTGAGAGACTTGGGCAAAGGAACGGATAAAGCAGAGCCGTCCAAGTTGGTGTATCCAGTCTGGGAAGAGACGGGGTTCTGTATAGCCTGACTATTGGCCTTTCGTGATGATTTGCGCGGCTGCTTGACGTTCAATGCCACGCTGCCCATGTGAGGTGAAGATGTCGCCGACGCGTCCCTTGACATCGCACCCGAGGCGCCTCGCGTGGACGTTCGCGGCGCTCCGATGCCCAGCCCACGCGCGATGCTACTCCTTGGAGGCCGCGGTGGTGCAGCTGTGGTAGCAGCAGCTATGCTAGGCGCTCTGCTCTGAGCCCCGGACGTAGCACCGCCGCTGCTTTGAGCGTCGGACGAGACTTTTTTGCCAGACGAAGAGCTCTGCGCGTGCCCCTCCGAGCCTGTGCGAGTGTTTGTGGCTGACAGCGGAGACATGTAGCGCGAAGCGATGGGCAATTCTGCACTGCTGGAAGTGTCGATGGGGTGCAGAGTGTGCCTGCTGCGACTTGCGGAGGAGTCGGAAGTATTTGGCCAGCTGGAGGTGGTGGTCATCTGAGGAGAGGTGGGATTGGAACGGTAACGCAGAGGATGCAGTAACGCGTCGAGATACAAGTCTTTGGCCTTTTCGAGCTCGTTGACGTATCTGCAGTGCAGGGCAAGCCCGTCTCGCTCCATGTCAGTTCCTCCTCAAGAGCGACACGTGTCGTCCCAGTCCGCGCTCTACTCACCTCTCCTCGCTTGCTACGATTTCCCACAGCACCTCTTGACGTGTCCTTTCCCGAGGTCCCAGATTATCAACCAGATCCCTTTGTGTCATTTGACTCCAGCTCGGTGCGCTTCCAGTCGCTGCACTAGCAGCTGACCAAGTCACATTACCCTGACTTGCGCTACGGGTCATGTGAGCCCCCGGCGCTGTGCTCGTGCTCAATCGCCTAGTGTCGACCGATCCGCCAGGCTTGGAAGCATGCGCAGAAGAATGGGCAGATACGAAGCTGGAAGGGCTGATCGATCTTGGCTGAGCATTGCCACCTTCTCTCGAGATTTGACCTGGGGGTATGAAAAGTATGGAATTGGCGCGTTGCTCATCGTCTGTGCTGCTGCTCGTCTGAACCAGTCTCGGAACGCCCTCGTGAGCGGTTGCGGCGTCGACGGGCAAGCCCGAAGGGTACGGCGCGGAAATACTGCTGGGAATGCCGCTCGTTGCGCCGTCAGCAGACGCTCCATTCGGATTTGCACCCAGCGAGCCTCTGCGACTCAGATTGGCGGAGCCCGTGCCGTGACTCGATTGGCTTCGTCGATTCTTTGTTGCAGAGGCGATAGGCAGCGAGTAATTGGTGCGCTTTGCCCCTGCGAACAGGTCCCCTGCTCCATCGCGGGGCAGCGAGTGTGCTGCCAGCCCAGAAGAGGACATGTTGGGCACGCCAAATTCATTGATACCGGCAGCAGAGGAAGGTTTGGAGTAGCTCCTAGCTCGAGCAGCGCTGGCCAATGTAGGTCTGGCAAAGCCTGCGGCTGATGACGAAGACGCTTGAACGGGTAAAGGCTCGTCGGTGAATGCGGAAGGCGAAGAAGGTCTTGCTTTCTTGATTGGAGAAGGTGCGAAAGCTACAGTCTTGACAGCCGCTCCGAGAGAATTGTTGGCTGGGCTTGTCAAAGAAGATGCAGCTTGACCACTGGACCCACTCGCTTCTCTGCTGCTTCTCTCGCTTTCCGACTTGATACCTGCTCCGCTGCGGGGTCTGACAAGAGGTTCAACTGGCGGCTCGGAGGCTGGAGGCGGGGCCTGAAACCCATGAGGCGTGCTCAGAGGGCCGTGCGAACCGGATCTGCCCACGGGCGATGCGGTGGTGGTGTCCGCATGCTCGCTCGGGCCAAGAGGATGTCGGGGCAAGTCGTCGATGATGCTGGCATCTACAGGCGGCGCTGAGCTCCTGTACTTTTTGATCCGCGTAGTGTCGCCAGTCAAGTCGTTGTTGTTGCTCTGCGCTTCAAACTTGGCAGCTAGCGCTCGGACCTTGTCTCCTGATGCTGCGCTTCCGCTCTGCTTCTCGTTGCCCGCGTACACGCCATCGGAGCTGCTTTTGGGATTGGGAGATTGTGGGCCGCCGGTGAGGCGGCCAAACAGACGCCTCATCTCCACCTGTTTCGTAAGTCGTGCGTCGTGGAGGGGAGGCGCGCAAGTGGGAGGCGAGGGTGAATGTATGCGCGGACAGAGGCGAGGGTGAATGTATGCGCGCACAGAGGCTGGTGATGGTGTCGTGCAGGCTAGCGAAGAGGCTTGAGGGAGGGTTGATGGTGAACGAGGGGGCGTGTCTGTCGTCAAGGTCGTAAAGGGTGTTCGTGATGAAAGGCAGGCAGCGAGAGAGGAAGCTGGGGATGGAGGCGAGTCTGAGTGGTGGCGCAAGAGACACGGCAGTGGTGCGTGAAGGGAGTCGTGTGGAAAGCGAAAGCGATGGGAGGAGCGGGGGTGATCAGGGGCCGTTTGACAGTGGATGATGGAGAATGTGAATGAGAATTTGACTTGACTCACCCACGACTCTCCCGACTTGACTCGATGGTGACGTGACTGCACTCACACTCACGACTCCCAACAAGCTCGCACGCACGCTCGACCGTACAAGCGCAAGCGCAGCAGACACCACTCAAACGCGCGCGCGCACTCAATCAAGACTCGCACTCGCGTGACTCAAAGTTGAATGTGAATGTTGAATGTGAATCTTGAATGCTCACATCACACGAGCTCGACGCAGACATCACATCGACGCTTGATCTTATCTTCGATCAATATTCGCGCTTTGCCATGCACTTTTCATCTTTTCATCATCACGCCAGCCAGCAGGCGCGGTGCCATGATGCATGCACGCGATGCGCAGGTATAGTAGGAGCATCGAGGAGGATGAGGGCGCGACATGAAGCTCTCTCTCTCTCTCTCTCTCTCTCTACACAAGCATGGCGCCATGCCGCCATCTTTCATTCGCAGCAGCCTCGTCGCTCGACACATCACGCCCGCCGCGGTGGCTGCTAGCGGTTGTGAGAACGCGCTAGAATCTCTATCACGTGACTCACCTCCACGCAACCGCCGGCTTGGCTTTGGCTTTGCTTTGCTCGCAGACGCGCGCATGCTCAGGATCACTGGATCGCTCTACCCTGCGGGCAGGCTTACTCTTCACTCCCGCGCTCACCTCTTTCCACCTTCTCGACTTGACTCAAGACTCCACACTCAACACTCCCGCTTCTACTCATCCTACTAGCTGGTTGGGAGTCGGCTGCAGGTCTGATGTTGAGCTTCTGCGACATCATTTCTATGGACGTTTGCCCTGTCGGTATCATCTGCCTCATGGTCTGATCAGCTGGCACCGCTGATCGAACCCGGCCAACAACCTCTCTTCTCACCGCAGCGACTCTGACCGACGGCAGTCGGTCACGCTCTCACAGCAGCAGCAGCAGCAGCCCGACTCTCATCTGCATACATCCTGCAACACACAAAAGTCGAGATGGCGAGAATGCCATCGCGGGGCTTCACTGTTGCTCATCAGAAGGTGGCGTTGGATCTAGACCTGGAGAGGCACATCGCGTCTGGCTACACGGAGCTGACTGTCGCACCTACGGACAAGGCGTTGCGCGTCATTCACCTCAACTTCAAAGGTCCAGGTGAGTGGCGGGCGAGCATGTCTGTTGCAGTGGCCTGATCTTGTCGCTCACACACCTCTTGATGCTCTGCATCGGGCAGGCATACAACGCGTCTTGATCAACGCTATCGCTGCAGATTACTCCTTTGTCGATCACACGTCTGACCTCACACTCTCGGATCCCAGCAATGTGCACCTGTACCCGGAGCTCAAGCGCAGGCTGTATGCAGCCGCATCGGATGGCGCAGGTGGAGAGCTGTCCATTCTCATCCCGCCCACCATCAACCTCGACTCATCCTCTGCCAGCACGCCCATCGACGCTTCCACGCCCGGAGGTCAGACTTTGGATCTGCCGACGCTCCTGGTCAGGGTGGAGTACGCCCTGGTGCATCCCACCGAAGGTCTCACGTTCATCTCGCCCACGCCCGAATCACCTCACCGTTCACCTCACCTCTATTTGGCTCCTACTTGTCCCGACTTTGCGAGGTGTTGGGTACCTTGCGTCGACAGCTTGTGGGAGCGATGCACGTGGGACATTGTACTTGTCGTTCCATCCACACTGCGGCACGCCGCCGCCGCAGGTCAGGATGAGGATGTAGCGATCATCGCCCTCGCCTCCGGAGATCTCGTCGAAGAGGTGAGTTTTGCGGTGCCGCCCGCCGCAACCGCGCAAGACTGGCGCGGCTGACTCCAGCAAGGACACTTGCTGCAACCAATCTGCGATCAGGTTGCGCATCCGCACAAGGCGTCCAAGTCGGTATTTTACTTTTCGCAAGCCGTGCCGACCTCTGTGCACCACATTAGCATCGCAGCAGGTCCTTTTGTCCTTTACGACGTCTCTTCCGCCTCTCACGGCGCACCGCACCGCACTCTGCAAGATAGCGCCTCGAAGAGCCAAGTGCCGATCCATGCGTACGCGCTGGTGGGCAGAGATGGTGATCTCGCTCCGACTACGAGCACTGTTCTCGCAGCGATGGATTTCTACAGTCGCGACTACGGATCCTATCCGTTCGCGTCCTTCAGCATGGTCTTTGTGGACGAAGCGCCCTCTAATTGTCACACCACCGCTACCCTTCTGGTGCTCTCCTCCGACCTCCTTCATCCAGCAAACGTGATTGAGCAGGCGCTGGAAACACGCATGGTGTTGCACCAAGCATTGGCCTTCCAATGGGTCGGCGTCAACATCATCCAGAGGACGTGGTCGGATACATGGCTAGTGCAGGCTCTCAGCTTGTACCTCTCCGGCCTCTTCTTGCGCAGACTGATGGGTCAGAACGAGTATCGCTTCAGATTGAGAAAGGATGTGGACAAGGTCTGCGCGGCGGACATTGGCATGGCGCCTCTCTGCGTTCAGGGGTGCATGGAGCCGCCAGACGAGAGCTATTTGACCTTTATGAACCTCAAAGCCCCGCTCGTGCTGCACATTTTGGATCGTCGACTGCGAAAAGCTGGTGCTTCCTTGGGTCTCGGTCGAGTGATCCCTCGCGTGCTTCTGCAAGCCATCACGGGCGAATTGGTGGGCAACACGCTCAGCACTTCAAGCTTTCTGCGCACGTGCCGCAAAGTCAGTAGCGTGGATCTGAGAGCCTTTGCAAAGCAGTGGATCTACTCGAGCGGATGCCCTACTTTTTATTGCAGCGCCGAATTCAATCGCAAAAAGCTCATCATCGAGTTCAACATCAGGCAAGAGTCTCCCGCGGCGATCTTTGCCGCTCAGCAACCTCATGAGGCCACATCTTCAAATCCCTCGCAAGTCTTTGAAGGTCAAATGACGGCCCGCATACACGAGGCGGATGGGACGCCTTATGAGCACGTCTTTGACATCAACGCTGCATCGAAGCGCATCGAAGTGCCTTTCAACACCAAGTACAAGCGAGTACGCAGGAATACGAAGCGTTTTCAGGCTCGACAGGCTGCTGCTGCTGCTGCGGCACAGGGCGATCAAGATGCGGCAGAAGCAATGACCCTCATAGACCTCGGCTTTTCCTGCTCATTGTGGGAAGATGAGGCGGAACGAGAGAAATGGAGAGTGGCGGATTGGACGGAAGAGGATGAAAAGATCATGGCCTCGGCTCCGCACGAGTGGATACGCATGGATGCTGATTTCGAATGGATTGCCAACATTCACTTTGATCAGCCCGACTTCATGTGGGTCTCTCAATTGGAGCGAGATCGCGACGTGGTCGCGCAGATGAGCGCCATCAATGCTTTGGCTCAGCTGCCCAACCCCGTGTCCTGCTCCACCCTTACCCGCACGGTGCTGGTGGAAAAGTACTTTTTCAGAGTCAGAATGGAAGCTGCGCACGCTCTGATCAATAGTGCGGTGGAGGAGCAAGACTACTTGGGCTTGTTTCACCTCCTGATGCTTTTCCGCCGAGCTTTCTGTCACGACATACCTGCGGACTCGAGGGCTGTGCACGGCCTGCGGGCAGATCGCGTGGACCTCGACGAGCCCTGCATTCCAAAAGCCAACGATTTTGGCAACATTGCAGAGTATTTTGTGGGAAAAGCCATCATTCAAGCCATCAGTCGCGTGAGGAACGTTAGAGGCAGGACTCTGCCGCAGGTAAAGAGGTTCCTCATCAACCTCTTGAGATACAATGACAACTCGACGAACCGGTACGCCGACGAGTTTTACATTGCTGGCATCATCGAAGCGCTCTCGGCCGCCTTTGTACCTGCCACCTCTCGACTTTATGGCGGCTTTGTGCCGGCGAATGAGGATCCGGACGCGCGGTACGACGAAGAACTGCTGCTCGAGGCTCGTTACGAGGTGGAGAGGTTTCGCGAGCTTGACAAGCTCGTGCCGTCCTTTCACAACACCATCACCCTCGCAGCCATCGACTTTAATCTTGTCCTCACGCTAGCCAATCTGCAACCGGTGGATTTGCCCTTATTCTTGGCATACACCAGACAAGGCAGCTTCGCGCCGGTGAGGACGGCGGCTTTCGAAGCGATGCTGCTGATGCGAGGTTTGCAGCACAAGGTCATTACGAGATACATCTTTGCTGTGCTTCAGACTGACGAGAGCAGGTCGGTCAAGAGGGCGCTCAGCAACGCAATGTGCGAAGCTCTAGCAGTGTCCATCGCAACGGGAGACTTTACAGCAGCTTCGATCTTGGACGAAGGTCAGGCGGAGCCTACGGAACTTCTTGCGCTGACAAGGGACGAGGCGGTGGTAGAGTCCCTGTTGCGGCCATTGCGAAAGGATATCGGGAGATCTGCAAGCGTACGAGAAGGATTCCTGAGCGCTCTGCTCAGCCCTGCTGTCGACTTGCAGACTAGGTGGGCACTCTTGAGATTGGCAGAGATGCTCTTTAAGCCGGCGGAAGAGCATGATGTGCCGTTTCAGCCCAAATTGTCCTTGCGCGTGCGCGTACCTAGTTTGGCAACTCCAGCAGAGAACAGTGCTGCTGCGCCTCTCCCCACTCCACGCATTCGAATCAAGACGACCTCTTCGGATGTTCTAACGTCCATTGCCGAATCGTCGGAGGTGGAAGATGCGTCTAGCAGCAGCAGCGCAACAAATATGGCGCAGCAGCAGCAGCAGCAGCCCAAAGTCTCGTTTTCTGCTTTGTCGGCTGCTGCTGCTGCTCCGACGAGCTCGGACAGCGCTGCAGGGACGACGGCTCCTCTGGCAGTCAAGATCAAGAGGTCCTCTAAGCCAAAGAAGGCCAAGCCTGTGGATGTGGCGCAGAGCTCGGGCATGTCCCCATCGGACTTGACAGTGTGCAGAAGCATGATCAAGGATCTCTTTGACGATCGTCGTATGGGAAAGCACTCTGCCGCTTTCAGACTGCCTGTAGATCCTGTTCGAGATGGCGCGGTGAGTGGATGGCAAAGGTGGAGCTTCTGATCAGCGTAGGCTTACGCTCACGGCCACCCTCCTGTCCTGTTCTCGCTAGCCAAACTACTTTGATGTGATCGACGATCCGATGGATCTCTCTTCCATGCGCGACAAGCTCAATGCTGGACTCTACCAGAACCGATTCGACTTTAAAGCGGACTTTGACCTGATGATTCGCAACGCCAAGACGTTTACGCCTTCGGAGACGGCCAAAGTGCACCGAGATGCCAAGGCTTTGGAACAGGCGTTTGGAAAAAGATGGAGCGCTATCAACAAGACCATTGCACAGACTGAAGCGAAGGCTAGAGGAGAAAAGTTTGTGCCGACGGAAGCGCAGGCGAGCAGTGCGACTGAGCCGCAGGCGGAAACGATGACGATTGCGGCTGAGCCATCTACGTCGACGACAGTACCGGAGCGAGAAGACTCTCCTGATGAGCCCCTCGCTGCTGCGGGCTCAGGTCTGGCGCGCACATTGGCGCTGACCGCCTCATCTGTGCCGGCGACAGACACACCCTCGACGAGCGCGCCAAAGCTGGGATTGAAGCTCAAGTTGAAGCCAAAGATTTCTAAAATGGCCAGCGAGGACGCTGGAGCCGGTGTGTCATCTGCGCCTGTGGGCGTTGAGCGCGATGCTTCAGCGACGTTGCTCGCAGCTAAGGGTGCAGAGGCGAGAGGTACGACGAGTCCGGCGCGTTTCCTCTCGCCTGCGCCTTCCACGTCCAGCACGACGCATGGCACGCCGACGCAGAGCAAGAAATTCTCCGCTTTGGACCCGGTCGCTGCTGGGAGTGGCGAGCCGGTGCATTTCAAGCAGTCAAAGGCTATGCTTGGTGCGCTTAAAAAACGACCAGAGGCGCACTGGTTCAAGGATCCTGTGGACGCAAATGCTCTACCTACGTGAGTTGCGACGCGAGCGTTTTGGCTGGGGGGGAATGCAACATGGGCTGATCTGTGCATGCCTTGGTCGTCGTCGCGCAGATATTACCAAGAGGTCAAGGCTCCCATGGATCTGGGCACGGTGGAGCGCAAGCTGCTGCATCACGAGTACAAGGATATGGGCCAGCTGGCTGCTGATGTGCTGCTGATCGTATCCAACGCGCACCAATTCAATGGCGCTTTGTCCGTCGTTGGGCAAGACGCGAGCAAGCTGGAGAAGACGTTTCGCAAAGAATTTGCAGAGGCGATGGTGCGACGATTGGAGGAAGGCGATAAGCGCATCCTAGCTGGCGTCTTGAGCCGTCTGCGAGCCGAGCCAGTCGCATTTTTGTTCCTCGAACCCGTCGACACTACCGTCTACTGGCACTACTTTGACATTGTGAAGAAGGAAGAAGCTCGCGATCTGAGTCTGATCGGCAAGAAGCTCAAAGAGGGAAGGTACGATTCGGTAGATGCGTTTGAAAGGGATTTGCAAATGATGCTGGACAATTGTCACAAGTTCAATGCGGATAATGAAGAGGTGCTGGAATTTGCTAGGACGTTTGAAAAGGTCTTGCAGAGGGAAATGCTTGGCGCTAGGAACGCCATCTCTGGAGGCGCTGCTTCGGCCACGAAGAGGAAGAGCGCAGGTTCGGCGGCAAGTGCTGCTGGAAACAAGAGAGCTCGACCTTGAGAAGAGTGTCGGTGCGAATCTCGGTACATGGATTCTATCCTTCTGGTTCAACGACCCCTCCGTCACGAGCAAACTTGGCTCTCCTCGTTCCTTCTCGCACCAGCATGAGCTCGGAACCTGCACGGCGTTGTAATGTATCGATCAATGGTCCAAGGCGTCGTGGTCGACTGAACAGCGCGCGTGGCGACGCCATTCCTGCGAGTGTCGTGGCGCAGCAGCTCCGTCGTGCGAAGAGAGCTGGCCTCGCCGTCAAGAAGGGTGATGATGATGATGGCTGAGGCCCGCTACAAACCCGCATCGCATCCGTTGACTCCAATGACTTGAGAATTTGCAAAGCTGCAGACCTGACGACTCGACTCGACCTCCGAATTCAATCCTTTTTCCCCATTCCTTCATTCCTTCATTCCTCATCCTCGCCTCGATCATCCAGCGCATCATCAACATCTTGCTCTTCCCCCTCTTCGCCCGAACTCTCGCCCTCGTCGCCCATGCCGAGCATGATTTTGCTCAGCTGTTCATGCGACCCCCACTCGATGGAGGATTCCAAGACGAGTCCCTGTGTGCGGTGCGGGCGGGGTAAAGGCAGGAGCGAGCAGAGAAAGGAGGAAGCTGACGTCAGCTTTCTCTCTTGCACGCCTGGCCCCATCCGCATCAAGCAATGCAGCAATGCAGCATGCAGCATGCGCTCTTTCTTGATTTCTTTCTTTTCGCCGCCTTCTCGTCCACGCGCCCTCCTTTTGCCACAACAGCAATAAAACCAAAAAAAAACTCACGCGCAAAACGCCCCGCACCATCTCTCGCTTGCTGAGCACATCCTGCAAAGCTTTTTCCATCCTTCGAATACGCGCTCCCTCTTCTCCCGCCACGTTGCGAGCTGCTCTTCTGCCCGATACCGGATTGCTCAAAATGTCCGTCAGTTGCGTGGATGTTTGTGATCGAATGACTGGCGCGGGAGCACGGGAGGTGTAGGTACGATGTGAGCACTTGAGACGTGGAGACTTTTTTCTCGAGCGAGGTGACGAGCGCCGCCTTTGCATGCGCCGCGTGTGCGTCGATGGAATTGTGACGACGCACCGGCTATATCTCGACGAAGCGATGCTCGTTCATCTTGCGCCTCTTTGAGATCACGCAAAGAGCGCAAATACTCCAAAGCTCTCGCATCCCTCGCTTGCAACAATCCCCTCATGGAAGTGTGCGAATTGGGTCTTGTCAAGCGCACCGATCGCGATGGAAGAGAGAGTGAAGAGGAGGGGGGGGCGAAAGAGGAGGAAAGGGCGGTGGAAGCGTTAGGTCAGCAAAAGGGGATGTGGGGGGAGGCATTTGGAATGTCGCTCACTTTGCACTCACGTGAACGAAAGCGATGCGTTGGTGCTGGGATCTATCACGCTGTTGTCTGTAGCGTGCGATCCTTGGCTGTTCTGCGCCAGCGCGTTGCTCAGGATCGTCGCATCGTTTAAGCTTGGCGCGGTGGGCGCGCGTGCGGGACGGGGAGAGAAGGGAGAGAAGGGAGAGAAGGGCGGGAGAGAGAGAGAGCGGCGGTCAGCATCAGCGTGCAAGTCGATTGGCATTGATCGAGCCACTTGAGCTTCTCCCTTGCCACTCATTTGCCCCCAACACCACACCGCACGCCCGCGCCCCCCCACACAGCCCACACTCACCCATTCAACACGTCCCTCCTGACATTCAAGACGCGTCCAAGTCTTTCGACCCTTCGTACACGTTCCTCGATCGCCCCTCTCAAAAACTCCTCATCCACAATATCCCTGCCAAACTTTTCCCTCGTCTCTCTTCGCCTTTTGGGCGTAGAGGAGGTGTTTGTGTTTGTGTTTGTGTTGGGATTTGATCTGCTTGGCGATGTGGGGATGTGCTGTGGGGAGGTTTGGGTTTGAGCGGACCAGAAGGAGAGGTATTGGGCGCGAGAAGAGAGGTGTTGTGGACGAGTAAAGAGCTGGTGATGCAGCGCTGATTCGAGGGGTGTTAGATGGGCCGTGGCTGAGGCTGGTGGTGCATCGGCTCGCTCAGCCTCGCGCTCAGCAAGAGAGCTGGCAGCGGGCATGGGGCGTGCGTCTTCCTGTGCGTCTGCGCCTGCGCCTGCGCCTGGACGCACAGAGGTGAGTGCGCTGCTGGACATGATGATGCGCTTGATTTGGTGTACTGAGTGGTGAGCGTCGATGGTGATGGTGGTGTGGTTGCGGCGTCGGCGACTGGAAGCAGGCACTCAACTTGAGCAAGCTGTTCGGCGTGCGTGCGTGCGTGTCCCGAATGGCGGTGCATACAGGAAGGCACACTTGTGACTCCCCTCCCCGCGCACATGCGCGACGCGCTTTAGTTCTCGCGTTCCGCGTTCCGCGTCGGCCCCCAACACGTCCCACGTGACCCTTGCAAGACGCGCCAAAGAAATCGCCTGATGAGTGTGAGTGTTGGTCTTTTGCGTCGCAACGCGTCGCGCGTGCTGCTGCTTGCTGCGTGGTACAAAGGCGGGCACAATAAGGAACACGCTCGCTGTCGGGGCGGGGCGCGCTTGAGTTGTGCGCGGGGCGGGCATGTGCGGGCGTGAGGCGTGCGTGCGTGCGTGCGTGCGTGCGTGCGTGCTTTGCGAGATGATGCACATGCCATGCCATGCCATGGCGGCCGAGAGGAACGTTTACTTGCGCCTGCCTGCCCCTCACGCTTCTGCCAACGTCAACCACACACCTACGCAACGCACCATACACCACACAGCCTTGCTTGCGCCATCGCCAACGCGTCCAGCACATCGCGTTTCGAGCTTCACCATCTCAACACACACGCGCGCGCACACACACGCTCACCCTAGCATCTCTGCCCGGCTCAGCTCAGCCCAGTCCAAGCTCCATCGTCATCCTCATCCTCTTGCACCGCTACGCGCCAGCAACGGTC